TTGCTGTTCACAGCGAGTTGTTTTGCATTTTCAGTACAGTTTCCTGTTTCAGGGTTGGTTAGGAGCCACAACCCTGTGAATTACTTGCCCTAGTAATATCCTATAGATGACTGACAAAACCGTTATCGTACTGGAGAGGAGTGTTGTTTCTGGACAATTAAATCGTCTAGATGGAACCTAGTATATAGAGTTGAGAAAAATAATATCAAAGGAATCATCAGTTTAGCTGTTTTGTACCTTCTTGGATCTGACAAATACCGTAGAAAAATAATCTAAAGAGGAAAATTCCAATATGTAGCAGACAAAACTGCAAATTCTACTCGTATAAACTTTTGATACTAACAAAGTGATGGATACAGACTGCCACTTCATGGAAAATCTTCAAGTAGCAGAAATTAAGATCAGCATCAGTATTCAAAATACAGAAATGGTTTAAAATGGCAGATTATTCAGGAGATCAAAGTATGTGGCCAAGCTGTCACCTCTGTCTAATAAGTGAGATATTTTTGCTGTAACCATCACCACCATACCTCCATATCTCTGTTCTAGACTCCCTAACTAATATCTTTGTACTTAATGGTAAACCCAAAGAATACCTTGGAGCACACTGACACCAGAGGATTCAAATCTAGTAACTTGCAGTTTGCATAACTGAGTGATCTTAACTTGGCCAAGAAAAAATGATCTTCTTTAAAACAACTTAATACAATAGGGAGGGCCAAAGAAACCCCAAACGAAAAAAAAAACCCTGAGGAACAATAGCTATTGAAACAGTAAAAAATATTGTGATAATTGTATAAATTGCCTCTGTGCTCTATGGTGAATGAATTCTGGGAAGAGAGAGAAAGATTACAGAGAATTTTGCAAATAGACACCGTTTGCAAACCAGTGTTTTTCATCCTAGAAGAGAGAACACCAGAAAAAAAAAAATGCTTATTTCACAGCTGTCGCAAAGAGAATGACACGTAACCTATGAAAATTGTAAAAGCGGTGAGCTAGTTCTTTGACAAAAATATATAAACGTACTTAGAGGAATCTACTCAGGCTGTAATCCCTATTCCTTTAGCGCTTCTTAAAGGCTAACAAGTTCTTGGTATACAAATGTAGTTTATGAAGTTCATCAAGCCAAATTTTCAGAAGAATTGAATTCCATTTAATTCTCCAGTGTGCGGTTCATCAGACCTGTGTCTGAGTGAGTTGCTTAGGCTTCCTCTATAGTGAGTGGTGAGTAATAAATATTTCTGACCTGTGCAATAGGTCAGCTAAACCACATCCAGAAAGAATAAACCAGCTTAATCCTCTCCAGTGGTTAAAAAGGAAGAGTATAATTGGGGATTCAATTATATTGTTGAGAAACATTCTCAGTAGGAGTATGAGATCCAAACTAACATGAAGGTCCAGATGTATATGGAGATCCCTTCTTTATCTGTAGTAAGCGGACAGTGGTGTCTACCCAAATGAGTCAAGCAATATGATATTAAAATAAGCATTTCAGTAGTCTTTACATCTAATCTAGCTTAAATAACATTCCTCTCTCTTCTGTTTTTGTAAGAATGTCTCTTTATTCTTTCTCCACAGAATTAAGACAAAAGAAGCAGCAATTGATCGGGTTTTGTTTCATCTGAAACAAGTGGAAAAAAAGAACAAAGAGTACCATGAAAGAGTAAGCAACCATGCATCCTTCTCCCAACGCATTTTATATGTGGTATTTTAACTTGTAGATTCAATTTGATTCTTTTAATCCTAGTATTACATTCACTAAAACTAGTCATTGCAGTGAATTTCTTACAGTCAATGAAACTAGATTTAGTGAGTCACCTTATGTGCTAAAAGTTTGTGTTATCTGAATTAAATGTGACATAAAGCATAAATATCCTAAATATAACCATGCAAAAAAGGAGCTGTGGGAGTAGAACACTGCAGAATAGGACACAGCAGTAAGGTAAAGTGAGTTCAGTGAAGGTGTTTTCCAATGCACATGAGATCCACTTTAACTGCCTAAGTATTTAATCTTACTCTGCAGCAAACACAGGGCAGCAAACACCCTTTCAGTAGGTAACTTTACTGCAGTACATTCAGATATACCTTTTTAAACAAACCTGCAAATATTCCTCGATATTTCAGCACACAAAGAATAAATGGTATTCACTTCATTTTTGTCAGTAGTATTAGCAGATCTAACCAAGTGTTGAGATTTGCTGACCTTTGATTCTCTTCTGAGGTAATGAAATTGCATAGGTTTCTATGAGAGCTTAGTTATTCTTGCAAACTTAGTTACAATGAAAACTGAACAAAGAAGAAAGAACATCACACAATCGTCTAGGTGCAATTTTTAGCACTGCTTGATGAAGGCTCACTTTCTTGTGGATTAAGAGTTGTGTTGGGCCATTTTTAAAACAAGGTGATGTGACTACTGCTTGCACCTGAGTGACACTTTAAAGAACCGTATATATGAACCGTATATAAAGAACTGTAATATGGCATCTGATGACTGAGAGCAGTGAACTTTGAAAGTGGATATATATACAGTCACCTAATGAAATTAATTCAAATCGCTCAAAAATCCTTAAACTGGATCATGTGATTAAACAGTGTTTCAGCCTGTGCTTCCTATAGCAGTGAAACATCGAAACAAACAATGTATCTCTGTCCTTCCCATGCCTGACACTTCCCCTGCTTTTCTAGGTATCATCCGTTTAGCTTTCCTTGCTGTTCCTTTCAGTCTTGAAGCCTGGATGGCATTTCATTTGTGGCCTTAAATATCAGTGGAAGTGGCATTCGCCTCTTCTCTCTGAGGACATCTGAAGTCTCTTATGGTTATTCCCCCAATTTGCTGCTAGTACCTGCTTTCTCAAGGACTCCATATTTTGGACTGTGCAAAGTATTTCAGGGCATGCATGAAGTGCTATTTGCTTAATTTACCCATGTTTTGACAGTTCTTTGAGCTCCATTCTTTGTTTCCTGCTTAATGTTTCTGAGTGGTTTAGAGTGAATCCTAGAAGCGTGGAATGCTTGAAACTCACTCTACTGCATAGTTACTGTTACAGTTCGGCTGGTATGGTTATTTGCTCCTTTAAGGTATCCTTTGGGAGCAAACATACACAATCAGTAATTTCAAATAACTTGAGTGTCACTTGAGAGGGTCATGGCAAGGGGTTATAATCACAGTTGTGGAATCATATAACTAATTCCAGCTCTGACAAGACTGTCTGCTGTGGTTATATGCAAGTGACCTGATTGTCTGATGACATTTCTGCATGAAGGTGGTACATTCTCATGAAGAATGTTAATGTGAAATAAATAACTCTTACAAATAAATGTTATTAAATTGACCCACAAGGAACTTTCTTTCCAGGCAATGGAGGGCTATTGATGTGCTGCAACAAGTACAGCAGTCATTTGTCTCTCGTTTCCTTGTAATGGTCCTGAAGTTATTGAGAAGCTTCTGGGACTTGCAAACTCTCTTCCACTCCATCCTTTTTGAATATGAAGAATAGGTGTTTAGCTGAGTGTTGTTTGCATTGCATCCTGGCACTAGGTCAGAGTTTACTTTTCTTCTTTACTTAGGACTGTCACTTTGAAAACTAATTTGAAAATGTTTTAATATAAGTCTTTTCTTCTGTTGTTTCATAGAATGACCTTCTGAAGGAAGAACAGCAGGCACACATCAGGCGCATACTAAGACAAATAGAAGAAGAGGAGAGAGAACAAGATGAAAAGGAGGTTGTAACTAGGGATGATGTGGAAGAGTCACTGAAAGCAAAATGGCAGTACGTCAAGGACAAAGAACAACTTCTGAAAGGTGTGTTGTGAGCTGTGGAAGTGTGGTTTGCAGTTTACACAGTTGGAATTGAGTACTTTTTTTTGCATTTTAAATAGAGATTCAACTTCCTTGTTTCATAAAATGCATAAAGCTTTTCCTCCGCAAAATTAAGCTCTCTCAATGTGGTATGAGATTGTGGAGGGTTTATAAGTAAATCTGTTCCTTCCAAGTACTTGCACAGTAATATACATCACAGAGGCTTCATTTTTTCCATAAAGCTGAAACTCATGAAAGCCTTATGCACTGGCTCCACCGGAAGATTAAAAAAAAATTATTGATGGCTGCAAAAATGACCAGTTCTGATTGTTGAAAGTTCTGGCTGCCATCCCTGTGATTCTCTGTGGGAGACATAGGCATCTTTGGTTACAAGATTGCAGCGAGACCTGTTTCTCCTTGGCAGAATAAGATCAAGCTGTTTTCAGCAATGATGGTGGCCCTTGACAGTATGTGAGGCCATCATGTTGTAATGTATTGTAGTGTAGAAGAATCACCCTTCTTTCTCCAATCCCAGTGAAAATGCCTTTATTAAAGAATTTGATGAAGTTGTAAGAGTTATGAACTATCAGTTCAAGAAATTGGTAATGAATTTGTCTTCTGATGTCCTTATTTTGATAGATCTGCACTCCCAAATTGAAGAAATTGACCGAAGACTTTCAGTAAAGCAGAGTGAGAGAGATTATTGGTTGGAGTACAAAAATGTAGGAAGTAAAACACAGGCCAACAAGATTATGAATCTGCAAAAAGACATTAAGGAACTCAAAGATGACCTTGACACGACTACAGGTCAGTTTACAGCTAGTGTAATACAAGTCTTACAGGCTTTTCCAAAACAGTGCACCTAAGGTGGGCTGCATAATCCTGTAAAATGGAAGAACTCTCTCTCACTATCTCTGTGAAAGTCCCTTTAATAAAGAAACCGATAAAGTTACAGAAATGATGAGCACCTGAAGAAACTGAGAAGCTTGTCTTCTGACAATTTTCTTGTAAAATACAGGCAACTCATTTTTAAAAAATGCTACTGTGAAGGACAGTAGTTTTCTAAAATAAGTGTACTTATATTTAGGTCACCTACACACTGGACTCCTTTAGCAGTCATACTTGAAAATGTTGAGTCTGTTGTTGTTGCTTCTCATCATGCTACAAGCACTTCACATGTTGAAAACTCCTTTGACAGGAAAGTAGTATGAGCTCATTCTTGGCACAGCCTTTTCAACTGAGCTACTGGTTTAAATGCAGAACTAGAGGGAGCTGTTCAGGCAGTGGTCTGAACTTGGCCTCCTAGCTGCACAGCCTCAGGTATGAGGCCCTGCAAAATTGTCAGTACAGACATATACAAGTCCTGGGAACTGTTTCAGTACTGACACAGCAGCAGAATTAATTTGAGAGCTTATGTATTCTGGTGCTGAGTGCTTTACAAAGGTTTCTTTACTACTGCATTATTTTAAAATCATTTAAATATTTTGCTGTTACATAACCCATGCTTCTAACAGGAGAAGGATGTGCTGGTTTTCTGCCTTTATGTCCCTCTCAGTATGCATGACCACAGCCAAGCAGCTGGTAGTAACAGGCAGTGACACTGCTCTAAGTGTCTCTGTGTATCCTGTGCCAACCATTACCAGGCATCCACTACTGTGGATAAGAGCCAGCTAGCTATCTTTTTGTCTCTTGAAATGTATTTTATCACAATTAAGATCTGCAATCTGTTTTCTGCGTTGCCAGATAGCTTGTCAGATATCCATCTCTGTATTCAGAAGAGCTTGATATTTTTCATTACGCATTTTCCATGCTCTTAATCAATTTAAAACTTTGCTATACATCTGCTGAAATATGGAATTAAAAAGAGAATGGGCTTTTATACAGAGTGCCAGAATGAACATTGTCTGACCTCCTGCATGTCACAGGGTACAGAGCCAAAAATTTATGGTCAAATGGAAGTGTATTTATAGAAAGACTCTTACAGAGGAACCTAGAGTAGTTGCCTAATTAACATATTGCAAAATGATGCTACCAGTACTGGATGTTAGCATACTATTTTACTCAACTTCCTAAAATCAAACTTATAAAGTGGCTGGGGAGTACAGTCTTCTAGCCTATGAAAAAAAAAAAAAAAAAAAAAAAGAAATAAATCTAACAAGCTTCCAGAGTGATGCAGCAGCAAATTGGGCTTATTCACTCAAATGTGTAACAGGCTCAGGGAATAAGCATAGGTGAAGGTGTTCCTGTCTCTGTAGGTCCCACTGAAGGGCTTGACGCTGGCACCATTCACGTGATCTGAAGATGACATTTTAAACAAAATTGCTGGAGGGGAGAGGAAGCAAAAGAGAGCCATACACTTGTGTGGGGAGAACAGTGTTGCAGTGAGAGAGTTAGGGAAAATAGATTCCTTAGAAACAGTATGTCTGAACAGTTCCTGAGCAGGACGACTCAGGTTGTTTAGCTGTCTGAAAGAATGAAAAGATTAATTAATTATAGTATGTAACTACTTCCATTTCATTCTGTCAAGTCTAGATGGTAGATTGATTAAGGCAGGCCGGCTTCCACAGTGTTAAATTAAGAACTAATGCACAACTAAGGCACCTTTTGTATTTGACTGCCTTTGACTCCACAGCGGGTCCATGGCCAGATACTCACTCACAGCCAGATCAGCAATAGGCTGTCTGCAACACAAGTGCAGAGCTAGGCTGAATTTCAAGCCTTTGGAACAAGTGTGAAGTGCCTTCCTTCAAAGAAAATTACTACAATCTCTTTCGTTCCTTCAAAAGGAGAAAATACCAAGCAGCAGTGGGCTATTTAGAATAGCACAAAAAACAACTGAAGGGAAGGATGAAAGAATTAAATAGCAAGTGACTAGAACTTGAAGCCAGACAAATTCAGTTTGACGTAAGACACACTTTCTAAATAATGACCACAAGTAACAATGAAAGCAAATGATTGAGGCAATTGCCGCATTCTCCATTTTGTCCTGTTGTCAAATTAGAACCCCCTGGAAGGCTTAGATAAATCAGAAAATTTATTAGGCTCTGTATAATAACTGTCTGAAAAAAATGCCATGTGTATAAGATGATCCAATATGCTTCTATATTGAAAAAAATAATAATGTTAAGATAACAATATTTTAGCAGAGAATTGCTGAGCTTACTGTTAACTATTCAGTTAGCAGTGAATTGCTCAACTGTTGCCAACAGAAATGTGTAAGCCACTTCAGATTTCTAGCTTTATAGTTAATGCCACTATCCTTTGGGTTTAGGAGGACAGTTTCTACTGATAAGGATACTTGAATCCTTTTCTGTGGAGCATCATGTATGTGATGCTGGCTGATAAGTTCCAGTTTAGGAACAACATACCAATTATCTATTTGTTGTCAGGAGAATTTGATGTCAAATAATGATTTCTGATTTTATTTTTTATTTTGAAGAATATTATAGCAATGCTCTGAAAGCAGTGAAAGAAGAAAATGACAGACTGGTTGAGAGGCATGCAGAGTTAAGTAAGGAACAGGCCCCTGAGGTATTCTTTCTGCCTTTTTTAAAAGTAGTAACTGCATCACAGTTAGGATTTATGTACTCTTCATTAAGAATTATTTTAACTCGAATCGAGACTTGGAACTTTTCTAATAAATTGAGAGTAAAATAAACTGTAAATCTTCTTACTAAACATGGCATTGATTATTGTTATACACACGTGTTGTTTTGGTTTTTTTTTTTACATCATACTGTGAGTAGATGTGAGGGCATTTTACCAAAGAGGTATGGGAACCTGGTACTGATACGGCTTGTTCAAGAACATGTTGCTTTTGCTGTGACCTTGATTTTGATGTTTGCATAGACTTCAAAAAACAATAACAAACTAAGAGATTGTCTGCATGGAAATATATATCAATTTGAAAAAAAAAGAAAGTTGTAAAGTACAACGTTTTTAAAATGCCAAAATAGTGCAGTCTACTGTAAAATTTAGTATTATTGATGATACATAGATTTTTATTTTTTTTTGTCATCTCTGCCAGCTCGGATTTGCAAACATGATTTACAAAGTATTTTTGCTGATGGCTTCTTACAGTCACAAAATGCAAAGCATACCTCAGTACAAATCACTGGTTGAGCCCATTAGGTATTTAAATTCCTCAACTTCAGTGCTGGAATTTTCAGTCATGTGAGAACATAATCCAAAGGACTGTGTGTGTGTTGTTCTACAGGGGCATCTTTCCCCCCTAGTTGTTTCTTTCCACTTGCTGACGTCAATAATTAAATTGTAGCCTTGGCATATTAGCATAGACCTCTACATGTTTAAGTCACTTGTCATAGGTCAGTACTGCCTCATTTGTGATTTTGCTTGAGTTTTTTAATAGCTAAAGGTTTGATTTCTTGAAAACGGGAAGGTTTGAGCAGTAGTGGGAACACAGCAGAACTTGTTAGGCAAAAAGGAAATGCCCTGTTCTCATATGGGAAATGGTAAAATATTGGTAAACTGCTTGACGTATAAACTGCACTAGGCAGGATGATGGAGAAGAAACAGCTGGCCTTGTGGACTAAATCCCCTTCTAATCTTTCAGGGGATGCTACAGTCTGTTGTGTGGATGTTTCTTAATTATTTTCTGCTGA